CCAACCTTCTAAATTATTATTATTATTATAACTTTATAGATTAGAACGATAAATTTGAGACTTTAGAAACTAAATACATATAATCAAAGGACTAAAAAGTAATTTTCCTTGTCAATCACAGATTTTTAAATAAATAAAAAAAATAATAGTGATTATTAAAAATAATTTATCTATATTAAAAAGTACTCTCCACCCTCCTAATGACTATTTAAAATATTGTTGTTATTATTTAAAAATTATTACTATTTTATTTATTAAAAAAAAATTATCACATAAATATGGTTGATTTAAGGATTAAATTGATCTATTTTTAAATATAGAGTCAGAAATTGACCTACTCCGAAAAAGGATAATTTACTTTTTTACCCTTTGAGCTTAATTTTTATTTGGTTTAATTTACTTTTTTACCCTTTGAGCTTAATTTTTATTTAGTTTATACGTGTTTAAAACGTCTAAATTTTATTTAAATTTTTAATACTAATTAGAAATGAAGATAGAACTTTTTAACTGAAATGAAAGAGGAGAGAGAAGAGGTCAGAAAAGAGAGAGAAATAAGATAAAGAGGAGAGAGAAACTTTTAAAATTTAAATTTTTAATTATTTTTAATTTTAGAGCAATTTTCCCCACGTTTGGATGAAATCCATTCTGCAAACTGAACTCATACGGGTGGCCTGAGGAAGCAAGAAAGAGACGCAGAGAGTGAGCGCTGAAGGCTGAAGGAGCAATGGCGCTTCTCAATTCCTCTCTATCTTTTTCTACTCCCACCAACGCTTCTCTTCCAAATCTGTCCTTCTTCAGGTTCTTCATTTTCTTTTTACTATCTTACAACCAATAATTGCCTCTTATCCACTGAAACTGATTCCTAAATTGTTCTCTAATTCCCAGAAATCGACCCAGAGACTTGCCCTCTCGGAAAATAATTGGAATGTACAAGAAATTCAATCTCTGTTCGACTTCAATCTCAAAATCCACCTCAGGAAATGTATTTTCCAGAAGGGATTTGTTGCTATTTGGGCTTTCTTCTTCATTTGTTCTGACATTTCCATCCTTAGGTCAGTTTTTCTTGCTGTGGTTTGCTTATTTTTCTGCTTCTCCTCTGTTGAAAAATGATCCATAGGTTAATTTCGTGATGGAATAGCTTGAGGTTTGAGATGGATGAAGAGATAACGCTTTGATTTCAGGTTCTCTTGCGGAGGAAGAGTTGAAGGCTGCTACAATGGTCGACGAAGTAAATGCTTATTCTTATATTTATCCACTGGAATTGCCGTCTACTAATTTCTCCTTCAAATGGTAGAGATTTCTGTTGAAACTTTTGACTGTGTTTCCTTTTGATAAACTTAAATTTAAACTTCAGATTGTTGTTCTGAACGTTCTACTTGACCCTTCAAGAATCTATACCTTAGATTTCATTTCCTTTCCAAAATTTTGGTACTCTTTCGTGGAAAATAAAGTTGCAGCAGAAGTTTTTTTGATGGGTAAAACATCAATTGAGTAGGTGTTTTTCTTTCTTGACAATGATTTTTAAGATTTTGCACGCAGTCATACCATGTTTCTTTAAGATTTTCCACTTGGAATGGGGCTTATATGTGCACGCCTTAACCAACAATAAGAACTTGTTTGGAACGACTTTCTAAGTGTTCTCAAACGTTTGGAAGGTCATTCCAGACTGACCCCAAGTCTCCTTTGTTTCTGAACATTTATATGTAATCTAAATTTGAAAGTGCAAAGGAAAACGAGCTTTGCTCATCTAGGCTCCCGGCGCTCTCGTGGTTCGCGAAAAGGGAAAAGAACTCATCCTTTGGCACGAGAAGATAAAAAGAGAGCTTTGTCTATTGATGAACAGTGGATTGATGGAACGCACGGCTAATATGGCTACTAAGCTATTTCTTTCGAAAGCTCCTACGGAGATGGGCGATAAAGCATTTAATGTGCTATTATCTATGAAGGATGAGATTTAAGTTCACTAGCAATATGAAGTCCTTTGGATAGTCAATGAAAACTCTGAATTTAGTTGGGAAACAATTTCTATATATTCTTTATTATTGAGTGTTTTTGGCTTTTAGGTTTCACTTTTCTTGTTCTATTGAACTTCTTTTTTACATTTCCTTTTAAGTTTTTTTTCCTTCTTTCCATCATTGTTTCATGGCCTTAAATTGTATGATACATAACTCCTTATCTTTTCAAGGGTGGAATCAAGAAAACCCGAACGCTATTCTTCGGCTGCCCCACTGTCTCGTAAGATTAAGAAACATAGTTTGTTCTTTGAGCAACTTGAATTATTTAGATTTTCTTCATATTAACTTCATTGAGTTTGCACACGTCGTAGCTGATGCACGATTGAGGATTGTCTCCGAGCGAGTTGATTTCATCGACAACCTTATCATATCGGTTACGGTAATTTCTTGTTCAATTTGATATCAATTATTTCATTCTCTTTTTAGGTTGATAGTTTTTATCATCTTTTTTGTTTCAGATAGGCCCTCCAAATTCCATGTATATAAAATCAAAGGACAAGAGTACTTGGACAGCAAAAGATGTTGCAGACTCTGTTTTATCCGACAAATCTGCATTGGTAATAGTTTCTTGCTTTTTACCCCCAAATATTTGGACAAAGCTTCATTTGAATTCATGTTCTTGTTCGTCTTGCAGCGGGTCACTTCGAGTCAGCGCCTGGCCGAGAGTTCAGTCCTAGATACTCATTCAAGTAATGTAAGTAAACTATGAAGTCCTGTTGTTAGGTTCAGTATATATGTCGCCTGGCCGAGAGCGTTTCTAATAGTCCTCTGGCACTCTCAGATTGATGGTGAGCCATACTGGTATTATGAGTACCTTGTTCGAAAGTCGCCAACAAAAATCGTATGTCTCTGTCTTTCTGATTGCCATGTTCCCCTCAGTAGAAAACATTACAAATATTTGATTATTTGTTGAGGACTCTAATGAATCCTGCAGGTCGGAGAATCCAACATTTACAGGCATTATGTTGCATCGACCGCAGAACGAGATGGTAAGTTCTTGATTTCTAGTCTGCATTCTGTCGAACAAGTTATGAATGGGTAAAATACTTGCTATAGCATAACCCCATCTTGTCACCTGCAAAGCATATTACAATTTCCTTCTTGAAAACTGGGGTATCAGAGGCATATTCGTTGCATTATGCTTATAGCTCACTTTTCGGAAGCTTCGTCCACTCGAAAGCCAACTTTAAACGATGATAAAAGTTTCAAGTTATTAAGTTTTCACTTTCGGAGTTTGAATTCGAGACCTGGAAAGGTATTTCTAAACGTTCGAAACATTTCGAAAAGACGAAAAGTGTGTGAAATGTGGTGATTTTGTGTAGGCTCATCCAAACTTTAGTGACTGGAAAATTTGTAGGTGTTCTTGCTTGTTCTCACCTATATGTAGGGGTTTTTTGTTTCGTTGAACTGAGGGTACCAATAATGCTTCAATTGCAGGCTTTCTGTATTCTATCAATGCTTCAACTCTTGGCGCGCAATGGAACTCTGTAAACTCTCCCTTTTCCGGAATTTAATGATGTTTGTGATGTAAAATCAGTTAGTACCTAATTACCTATAAAACGTCTCTTTTTTGGGCAGATGGGACCTTTTCTGCAGAAAACGGTCGAGTCATTTCGACTTCTTCCTCCCACTGAAGACTACGTTCCTCCATACAAGGATCCATGGAGATTTTGGTGACATTTTTTTGTATCCACACTGCATTTCCAAGCATTTTTGTATCGTATTCTCTTGTCGAGTGAGTTCTAGTTCATTTTCGAGATCTAGGCGTAGCTACAGATTTTGAAGGGTCAGCTTTAGACAAAGTTGATCTCTCCATGATCATACTATGTTGTGTGTTTCATTGCCACTTCAAGTCCAAAAACCTTCAATAGCATAAAACTTTGAAAATCATGCTCATGGCCATTACACAGCAGAAGAAGAAAAGGAAACCTGAACTTGATTGAACTTGAAAAGAATATGAAAAGATCCGCTGTAACTTTTATCCGATGAGCGATGGTCCTTTCACTCAACACTTTTAGATCATTAAGCCCGACTTTCCGATGAGCGATGGTCCTTTCACTCAACACTTTCCTTTCACTCAACACTTTTAGATCATTAAGCCCGACTTTCCGATGAGCGATGGTCCTTTCACTCAACACTTTTAGATCATTAAGCCCGACTTTCGTTCTTGGTTAATGACTGGGTCTTGTAGTCAAGCTCCCTTCTATCTTTGCACTCAAGGACCAATCTCCTTCTGATCCGATGAAATCTTTGCACGCCTCTTGGGAGGCCTACGCCCCATGGGAATTGTCTACTAAAAGTCTTTATTTTTAAAAAAAAAATCATAGTTTTTAAAAAACTAAATGAGTCATGAGCTAAAATTACTTGTTAAAACAAAATTCTTTTTATAGTTAGAGTTGGTTGGGTGTGCCTATTGAAAAAAATCCAATATGAATGACTTCTCCAAATACCCGGATTTGGAGACATTGCTTTTGCTATTTCGAATTGAAGGGTGATATAAAATCGCTTCTTTCTTCACAGACAGCGTAGTGATAAGAAAATGCTAATGCTAATAGAATGTATCAAATCAAATAACAATAGATACTATGATTCGAATAGACCTTTCCTAAATAAAGATTCTCTATTGCAAATTTTTATGGTACGAAAAGACTAGAAAGAACGGACGAGATGAAAATCTCCCTATCAATTGTGATCCCTTTATTGCATGCTTTGTTGCTCATCCACTTCTCAATATGGATTCTTTTTCGTTATCTCTGCCATAATCTTCTGCCTCAAATAAAGAACTAAATGAATAATAAAACCATTCGTCCTATAGTTAAATCCTCCTACAAAAAGTTAAAAAAAAAAAAAAAACGAGACCAATAATAGGTGCTCTTCAATCTGTAGTAATTTGATACATATAGGACGAGTTGTTGAACGATGCGTGCATAAACGCATTCCTTCTCAATACGAACCTGAAAATTTAAAGATGATCATATGCAATATATGGAGACAGAAACCATAGTTATAAATTACTGAGAAAAAAGAGGGTTCGCCATATGTTTTGGCAATTGTCAAGAAGTAATTAACGCCTCTTACAATTCACAAACTGACAACATTATCAACATTATATTATACTGGACCAGAAGAATCCCAGATCTTCCGTCTGAAAAGTATAATAATATGCATGGGAGGGAGTGACTGACCGACTGACTAACAGGAGGAGGAGGTATATGAAAAAAGAATACGAAGGGATATTAATAGACAGCAAAAAACCAATTTTCTTCTCTTCATTTTTCCAATTACAACTCTCTCTTCAACCACTATGCCACAAAAAATAGGAAAACCATGAGGAAGAATATTAGTACAAAGAAAATTTTGATCATCAGCCACCTATTTGATGATATACTGTTTAGATACTTGAGCAATGCACCCTGTGCCCCCTCCACATTTGACAGAGTATCGTCCATGTTCTCATCGATCCTGCATAAACCGACCCAAATTAACTTTTGAACTGTAAGCTAGTTGGATGAGACTTATGCCATACGGAAAATGTATTTATATAGGCTACTGTATGTTCCAACAGTGAAAATATATATCACGTATTTTAACCAGATATTTTGTAGACATACAATTGGTGTGATGTTCAAATTAATTGTTCTTGTGTAGCACATCAAGCTCTTTAAGGTTCAAAATCTACTTGAATGTAATGGATACTGAGACCATATACTTCATGCTTTGTTTGCAACACAAGTAATTATGTAATCAGAGATTCTGAAGTAGGTGCAAGAGGGTAGAACCTGATAGCAATCTCTCCTTGTTCAGAAACCAGAGTGGCCAGCTGGTTGAAGATATTGCTCAATTCATGAATGGTGGATTCTACATTTTGAAGAGCTTCAGCTCGGCTCTGCATGTAAGTGTCTTGTAATGGAACCATCTGCTGCTGTTGCTGTTGCTGCTGCTGTAACAATGGTTGACTCTCCCCATCCACCTGCTTCCTGTAAATTTACAAGCAACATAATTTTCATTACACCACATAATAATCGTTAAATTAACTTCGGCAGGAAAGTAGAAACAGCACGACAAAAGAAATATAGCACAACAATGAAGTTATGATCTTCTATATATATATAAGAGCTACATGTGAACTTCCATTAGCAGCAGCAGCAGAGAAGACATCAATCCAAGTAAAGACCTAACGAATATTCCTCCAATTGGCACTAACGATGAATTTAAAATCCTTGGGTTGACAATAATAATTTCTAAGTCAAATACTGATCCAAAGAGAGTGAATGAGATAGATGAGCATTTCTAAAATGGTCATTTTACAAGTACAGCAATTTTCACCAAAAACAATAATAAATGCAAACTGGGATTCAATGTCGTTGTCCTGGTAATTTAAGAGACTTCATACATCAAATGGTTGAGTTTATCCTTTAAAATTTTAAGCTATAATTTAGTTGCTTATGGTGACTAGGGCCATGCTCAAACAAATATGGTAAGAAAGCAGCAGGGCGATTGTTCAGGAGATAAGGTTACTGGGTAGAAAGGAATAGCAAATTGTTCAAGGAACCACCAGGTAAACATTGGGTTTGGTGTGCTTCATTTGCCTCTTCTCGAAATTTAGAGTTCAAGCGTTTTTTTTTTTTTTTTTTTTCCTTTCCTTTGATAGGAAACAATTTCATGGATTAAATGAAATGTACAAAAGGGGGAACCCATCCAAAAGAGATTGTAAAAAACTTCTCCAGCTGGATATAAGAGAGTTTAGAATAATTACTAAAATGTAAAACATTTTTACACCAATAGGGAGCCAAGAAAAGAGCGAAGTCAAGCACTTACTCCAAAGATCTTTTTTTTTGGAACAAAAAACTTCTATTGGCATAATGAAAATGAAATGTTCAAGTAATATAGACTCCCAAAGGGAGTGTAAATAGATAAAGAAAAAGAAAAATCAAGAACCTAGAGGCAATTACAATCAAATAGAGCTCAACACTGGGAATAATAAAGCTTATCGGCCACTAGCTCCTCCAGTGAAGCGTCTTTTAAAAGCTCTTCATTAAGTTGTATCAACTCCTAACCAACCAAAATATGACTCCAGCCCCTAACCAACCAAAATATAAAAATCGGAGCATGCAAAACTCTTTTGGAAAAAGCCAAAATGAACGTTACATCAACCACCTTTTCTCCAACCTAAGCATTAAACACTGGAACGTAAAGTGCTACTTTGTAACTCCACATGAATTTAATGATCTTTGAATAAAATATACCAACATTTGATTCTTGTAGAAGAACCAAGTCAGGACAACGGTGCTGCAGAAACTTCTTCAAACTGAGTATTTTCAAATAATCCCCCAACCCCCGTGTTCCAGGATAGAATTTTCATTGAATCACAAAGGATAACTGCTGAAGTCAACTCAAAATCTAACATTTACATCCAACTGTTATGAAATCTAAAAGGGGAAGACCCTCAAACAAAACTTCCAGCTTCCAAAAGTAAAGGAGAATAGTCAGAAAAAATACAAACTTGTCTTGATACCCTTGAATTGTCCAACAACTGATCTCATTCTTTTGAAACAAGAATGCTATCAAGCAAAGAATTTGATCAATTTTTGGTTAAAAATTCCAATCTTGATCTCTTGAATTAATACCAAATCTAGGTAGAAAAGCTGGATAAATTTCTTCGAAGTTGTTTGTTTAGTATCATCCCCAAATCCTCAAGTATTCCATGATATAACATTCATAGTTGAAACTCACAATAATTAACTCAAATAAATTTTAAAAATCAAATTGGGGACGCTGGAGGGATACTATGAATTTGAAGATCGTAGATATTAATTAAAGAGGAAATTTTGCTTGGAATTGCTTGTGAAGGAGGAGAAGTGTGTTGGAAATTTTCTCGTGTGTTTGTGTGTGAGAAAGAGGGAGAGAGTGGACGAGAGTCAAACAGTAAAGTGATAGCCCTAAGCCAACAATTTTATTCATCAATACACTGCAGCCAAGAAAAGTTTTGAGAGCTCCCCACCTCTCTTACTCAAAAGACAAGTTCCAGAAAACCAAACCCAAAAAGATACCCTCACCACAAAACAACTCTCCCCAGTAAACCTCCACCCCCGAAGCCTCTCACATAACTAATAAAACCTATGGGCCCCACACAAATACATGATTATCCTCTCACACGGCTCCCCCGTTCTCACACAGTTTCCTACACTTGAGTAATTTGGGACATATTATAAAGTTCATGAGGCAATTCAGAGGAGATGTATTTTTTTTATCATTTTTATGACTGCAAGTTGGGGAAAGCACATTTGCAAGCACCATAAACCCAAAATTATATTTTGAACATATCCCACTATCATCTAAAACAACTAAGAAGATGCTTTGCATAAATAGAAGGGTGTGAATATATCAACTGAAACAATTAAAAAATTCTCACCCGGGAGATGTTTTAGAAAAAGATGTGGACGCCTTGGCCCATGGAGGAGGGGGCGCACTTGAGGCACCAGCAGCTGACCTGGAAGCTAATGGACGCTGGCGCACAAAAGGATTGGTAGATTCCTTTGAAGCAGTAGAAGAAAATAGTTGTCTTCTATTCTCATGAACCTTCAAATTCTTCATTAAACCAACAAATAACGTAAGTATTAAAAAAAAATCTGGAAAAGTCTGTCACTGAGATAGATAAAAGCCAATCGAGGAAAAAAAATGCAGTGCACGAGCTTACTTCAGTTCGCATGGTTAGAACTTCTTTAAACTCTTTTGTGGTGCTCATCAGTCGATTCTTAAGATCATCTACCACAGTGGTTGAATGACTAGTAGTATCACTGGATATGTTTCCATTTTCATTTCTAGAGTTGCAGAGAAGCTGAAGATCTACAACGGCAGAGTTCAAGGTTGTAATGTCCTGCTTAATAAGAGCAGTTAGCTCCTGAATTTCCATTGTTGGGTCATCAAAAACTGAAGTCCTCTTTGCCACTGGAAATCATGATGTGAACGTCAAAACTCAATCAGAAAATTAGAAACTTTCACTGTCATGCTTCATGCAATACCTTTAAGAAAATTTATTTTCATATGCAACATTAGGCATTCTCCATTAAGCTCAATAATGTAACTAAAAACAAAACCAACCCACGTGAAACAGATAAATGTTTCTTCCCTAGTCACCCTTGCATTTTGCAAACTACATAAAATCAACTGCCTAAAATTTTAAGGTGTCAAGAAGTTACAATTTACAAAAGGAATGAACCACAGCAGCAGTTTTTTCAGAGTTTAAAATATACTTTCGATAAATAAACGGAATCTCAAGGAAAATGTTCAGTACCTACTTAGATTGTTAGAACTACCCAATACGTTACCAAACATCTACCATGGCATAATGCATTATGAAACTTACCAATCTTTTTCTGATTATGGTCCTGAAATTAATGGAATTTAACAAGGAATTGCTCAAACTTTAAAACTTAGCAATTTAACTAATGATTAATATGACAGGCTTAGATGATAAAATTTATTGAAAATGGCGTCTGGTCTGAACTACAGGATACAAGACTGCGCAGATGCACCATAGATTACTTCCAATTCAACTACTTACATTTTGCCAACTTTGAGAGTTTCTGAGACGTCTGGTGTATCCCTAATCCAACCTTGGAAGCCCTCTTATTGAATTCAGACTGAAGAGCAACAGCAGAGCGCTGCTCTTCTGACTTTGAACCAGCACTAGGTCCAGTTGTTCCCGTGCTCGATGAGAAAGACTTCTTTAGCCTCTCTGTTATGTTCTGGAATTCCAGCGTCCGATCTCTAAATGATTGTGCTGTTTTGACAGCCATCTTCAGCGCGTAATCTCTAGCTCTACAACAACATCAGGAAAAGCATTCGCATGAATGAACTTTAATTGTCGAACATCGAGACCATTGTCAGCTTAAGCTCCTACGGAACTAAGAAAATAAAACTCATCTACTCCAAGATATTTTCCGTTACCATAATCTTTTCTTGATTTTCACAATGTTAGTCAATATTACTTGGAAAAAATCAGATCGTAGCTTTCAGTAGACGTATAGAATTCGCATTCCTATAGAAATAAAGAAAACAATTCGAAGAAACTTAGATTCAATCAAAGCGAAATTTCCTTATTCCAATCAGTCTAGAAGAATGTCGGTGCAAAGTAATCCAAGTATTCAAACTACAATTTACGCCAAGAGATGCAAGGACGCCGTCAACTACACGTATCTAAACGAAATATTTCATCCTTACACCTAAATTTGCAAAGACACGACGAAAAAACCAGTGGGACGAACAATTAAATTACCTCAACAGCCGCGAGATCCGAGTCCCTCAATCCTCAAGGAGAAAATCAAGCGAAACAAAAAAAGCCAGAAAGAATTGGAAGCAAAACCCTAGATCTGGATCGAAATCACCATTCCACCCAATCAGCCAGAAAGAGAGTTCAATATCCCGGCGACGCGCTTAATCGAACGAATAAGAAACGAATTGCAGATCAAAAAGAGGGAGAAATGGATCGAGTTCAATGACAGATTGAAATTGAAGCCGAAAGAGCATCAAATTGGGGGGAACAAAAGAAAAACAAAGATGGCGGTAACGGAGAGAGTTAAGTAAGCTGAGACGAGGCGCTGAAAAAGAAAATTGGAGGAAATTACCGGCTGCTCATCTCAACATACTGGTTTTCCAGAACGAGTAAAAATTCTAAAAAAAGAATATTTTTTAAATAATAATAATAATAATAATAATATTGTGTGTGTTTAGCCGATGAGTTACAAAAATAATAAACCAAAAAAACCAATTGTTTTTATTTTGTTATTATAGTTTAAATTAGGGAATTAATTACACGTTTAATTATGGGAGTTTAGACTTAATTAATTACAAATATATATATATATATATATATATATATATATATATATATATATATATATATATATATATATATATATATATATGAAAATTAAATGACTCGAAAATTCCAATAAACCCAAAAGCTAGTGTTTAAATAAATTAAATTTCCTAAAACTATTAAGATATGTAGTAATTATTTTTAATATTTATTCAAACCCAATCCTAAAAATGAAATTTTTTTAATTTTTTTAAAAAAAATACAACTTGATATTTTGAATTAAGTGATCATATAATTCATATTTAATTAGAAATACATATTTAATAAGAAATACGACCAAAGTTGAAGGTAGTAATTATTATATGATATTTTGAATTAAGTGATCATATACTTCATATTTAATTAGAAATATGACCAAAGTTTAAAGCTTGGAAGAGACATTATATCGAGACATTTTAGGTGAGAAGCTCGCTATTTAAAATTTTAATTTTTAAAAATTTCATAATTTATTTACCGTATCTTACATTAAAAAAAATTCATAGCAAAATTTAAACTTTGATGTGAACCTAAGCATAATTTAACTAGATTAGATATACATCATCGACTACAATGTTAGATGTTTAAGTCTTATATCCCAGTGGGCTCACAGGTCGGTTAAGTTTATGATAGAAATCCTAGGAAAAGCTCGTTCGTTCACAGGTCAGTTAAGTTTATGATAGAACCCCTAGGAAAAGCTCGAACGACCTTCAACAAAAGGGCACCTATTCCCAAAACCGACACAAGTGGGTAGGTAGAGAATACCTAGGGGCGCGAGACAACTCTCTCTAAGGAACTCGGCAAAATAGCCCCGTAACTTTAGGAGAAGGGGTGCCTCCTCACAAAGCAGGTTGCAATGACCAGGCCCGAACGACTGTTTACCAAAAATACAAGCATCCGCAAAGTCGTAAGACCGTGTATGGGGGCGGAGCCCGAAGGACCAAAGATTATCATCCACTAAAGACCATGAGAGGTGAAGCAAAGCAAGCAGACACCATCACTTTACAAAAATGATCATCCATGGCTGCCACCAATGGACATAAAAACATCTCTTTACAAACAGATGACCAAAAGGGTGTGTGTCGATTGCCTCCAACAGGTTCGTCAACCACGGGCATGGTGGCCAGCCATTGAGGCGAGTTTTATGCAAAGCCACCAATGCTGGTTTCAAAAAGGTCCTCATCATGGTCAGCATTGTCTTGGGAGAACGCTAGGAGGTTTTGTCAATGAATTTCTCGAGTTCTTCATCTATCGATATCTCGTGGGAACAACACGTTAGACTACTACAGAAGGCTTTCTCTCCCATGCAACAGTTTACAAGTTAAATCATAATGGTTTGAAACTGTAAAAGGCATGCGAGACGTTTTATCGTGACAAACCTATAAATGTAGATGTCTTTTCCCTCTTCCAGTTTCTTGTGCCAGGAATAGCAGAAGCTTAAGAAACCACTTAAGGAATATGAAGTGAAGATATCCAGCTCCTTCATTTCGTTCTCCGAAGACGAGCTCGAATAATTTGAGTTCAAATCTAAAATGCAGTCACCATAAATATTAGTTTTCGGGTTTCGGGTTTGAACGATGTGAGATTACACACGTATAATCCTCAGACAGCTCAATCTCACTAGCTGAGAGAGACCTCTTAGATATGCTGTCACCTGATATGCCTAAAAAAATTGAACAAGGTTTCATGAGGGGACATTTTTCTGACACTCGAGCTCCTTTGGCTGACCGACGAGCAGCAACGCTCTCGGTAGTAGTACAACTACCGAGGCTGTGACCAGTTAAACCAGCTCGAGGAGCAAACGACCTGTAGGATTCAAAAGAACCAGAGTAGTTCCCAAAAGACTTGCATTGTAACGGGGTTACTCCAATTTCAAAAATTATCAGAGTTTCCCAGTTCAATGGAAGCTTTAGGCAAGGATTTAGGTCCCTGGTAATGATTTTCCCGTGATGAACAATTCGACTTCTCGGTCACGCTTCGAAGCCCGAATAGAACAGTTTTACTACCGGATGATCGAGATTCTTCCCAAATAATTTACTACTATCATTGTCATTTAAAGAATCTATCAAGCTCAGCCCTACTTTACTAGAATCCCAGCTCCATCTATGCCCCTCATTGGATAATGATCTGGGAGCTCTAAGAGGGTTACCTAAACTAGAAACTACCAAAAATCCTGAGAAGTTGGACTTCTAGATGAATCAGAATCTAACCCTTTAGGAGACAACCTAGTAAACAGGTGACATCTTTTGAAACTAGAGATAGAACCAGAACAAGGGGCATTCAGTTGATTCAATCTGTATGGATCATTCTGAACTAACCTTGTTCTCTTCCTCCACATTTGCGGGATTTAACCCAACACCTTACGGCACAAGCTGGCTACAGCCATGCACCTCCTATGTCCGCGTTCCCGAAGGCATCCCTCTCTTACAAGAGGATTCACAGCATATCAAGCCCCAGTAAAGTTCTTCGCTTTGCATCGAATTAAACCACATGTTCCACAGCTTTTCAAATCGCAACTCTGAAAATCCAACCCCTGCAAAACCATAGTTTCTTTTCTGCAACAACGTTATTTGGTTCATTCAGAAATACAATATAGTTTCAGAAATCCATCAGAATCAGCAGAAACCGAGCAGCATTGTGCAATGTAAAAAAAAAAAACATCATGAACATCTGCTAATTGATAAGAAACCCCAAGAACAGAACTCAGTCCACACGATCAATTCAGAAGTAGCAGAAACTGAGCAGATTGAAGCATTTAACCAAAAATCATAAGCAATCGCATAAGAAATAGTCTCGTGAAGACCCTTGAACAATCAAACCCTAATACTCAAATGCAGTAACATTCCCCTCGATCAATTTTGCAGGAAAAATCTCGAAAATGAAAGTAGTTTCAATCGATTGAAATGGAAAAATCCGGAATCAGAACAAAAGTTCGCAGCGAAGCCATCGATTTCTCGAGGGCATTCCGCAACTATTAGAGAATCAAAAAGGGGGGAAACCCTAAGAACCATCGGCAGAGAATTATTTTGTACGTATTTTCCTAATTGCAGTTCATTCAATTTTCAATTCAATTCCCAGCTCCCCATTTTTTCACCGAAAGAAGAAGGAAGACCATTCATCTTTAATTCACAGCGTCCACACACGCTTTATTGGCTATAATATCATTTGTAATAGTCAAATTCCACCGATAACAAATATTGCTAGTTTTCATTCGTATCTTCTTCAGTTTTACAGTTTTAAAATTGATTTATTATGAAGAGGGTCTAACCTTCGACCACTGCTTCACATCATCTGATGACTAACTTTGATACCATTTGTAATGGTTCAAACTCACCGCTAGTAGATATTGTATGCTCTAACCTGTTACAAATAAGTACCGATAACGCTATTTTTTTAAAACTCTTGTAGAACAATTAACTTTATAATAATTATTATAAGATTAAATTCAAATAGACATCTTATTTATTACTATTATTTTCTCTCTATTTTCCTATTATTTGTATGCCTCTTATCCACCCCACATATACTATCTCAAAAGTTTGGTGATTGGAGTGATAAAATAAGAATAATAATAATAACAAATAAATAAATAAAAATAGAAGAAAAAAAAAAGTTAGTAACCGGAGTTAATGAGAATCCTGAGATCCGTCCTTTCAAAGCACTAAACGGCCGCATATATAAACGAAGCTTTAACGCCGTCTATAGAACGTCATAGTCAAACCCCACCTAATATGTAAAGAATGTAAACTTTAAAGAATATTATTTTTCAAAAATACCCTTAAAAAATATTTATGAACTTTAAAAAATTCCATATTATTTTATTAGTCATAAAATTTATTTTAGATATAATAAATTAGTTATTTTTAAAAAAATGTTAATATATCTAAAATTTAATAGATACAAAATAAAAAATTTATGCTTGATTTGTCATTTTCCAATCCACACTAATTTGAAAATTGAAAATTAAAAAAATATTATTTGTTAAATAAATATATATATTGAAGTATAATGACTAAATTTATAATTTACTTAAATATTCATTGGCATTAGGTCATTTTAGAAAGAAAAAAATAATGTATACCTTTTTCATTGATATAATTATTATGAATTAAAACTTAAATTTTAAAAATTAGTATTTTTTTTTTCTAGTTTAGTTTTATCTTATTAGTTAAACTTTAAAAACTATCTAATAATAAATTGTTTTGAGTTTTCAATTTTGTATTTAATAGTCCCAAAATTTAAACTTTTTATAAAATTTACAATCATATGAAATAAGATAATAAATTTTAACTCTCAACTTTTATTTTAACCGTCGTCTTATGCATCGGAAGTATGAGAATGCACGGTCAATAAGGCGGCGGCGGTGGCGGTGGCGGTGGCGGCCGCTTCAATATATTCTGTTTCCGGCGGCGGTCTGAGCTTGTTTGCAAATGTTAGTTTCCCTACGACAAGTTGCCTATTTTCGGAGCCTTAGTTGGAAGGAAAGTTCTGTTTTGGTCCTCCATACACTTTTTCTCTTTTTCTTTGTGTTTTTTTCTTTTTGTCACGTTGTACTAATTGAGCCAATATTTTATTCCTAATTATGTCATCGCCCATAGATATGTTGTGTGGTGTCACAATCGCACCCTTGCAGCAGCAGAATAATGATTGAGCGACACTTGTGTTGTGTGGTGTCACAATCGCACTTTTGCAGCAGCAGAATAATGATTGAACGACACTTATTTTAGTCTAGAAAATAAGTCAACCATATGAAATTCGTACTTTGCACAAAATGTTAACGTATGCTCGAG